ACCTCCTGGACGTGGTGCACGTTTTCTCCCCAGAAAACAGCTCCTGTCCCAGGCAAGAGATCCAGTTTCCCAAACCAGGGGCTATACTGCGGTATTTCACTGTGCTGGAGAGCAGGAGCAAAGCTGTCTGTATATGCCACGGAAGCTTTCCTGTTTGTGGGTTAGGGAGATTTTATGGCAGCACAATCTAGAGAAGTGCGGACACAAGCCTAGACAAGAGTTCTTTGTGCAGATCAAATATTGCACCATGTATTCTTGCCAATTAGAAAAATATCACCCTTGATACAGGAGGCATCTTTGAGCAACACCTAGTTGCTGCAAGATCAGATACCCAACTCTGGGAAAGACTGACAAATCCAGGCAATGGGATAAAGGATAAAGATGCTTCTTCCAGTCTTCAGCCCTGTGTTCATTCCTGTTTCCTTTCCCACCCTCACTAGGAAACATGGCTCAAGTGGCACCACGAGACACGCACGAGAGCTTATCAAATTAGGTCAGGAAACACTGACAGCCTAGGGATCGGTTTTTACAAGCGGCAGGTTCAACGGATACAGGCCTGCTAACCCTGAAGAGCTGGATGAGCAGAGGCCTCAGCTTCCAATGCACTGCACTGTCCCAGCTCCTGGTCTGGCTAAAGGCACCCGGGTGCCCACCACCCCCAGGTCAAGCCACCAAGAGCAGCTCTAGCAGTCGAGCCGGGTGACAGGCTCCCCAGACAGCGAATCTGCTTTGCTCCATTGGTGCAATCCACCCACATCCTCACCAGCAGCTCCAGGCAGGGCACAGGCCCTGCAGAGCCATGCACCGGGTTTGGGAAAAGACTGGTCTCCTTCCTGGGTTTTTAAACCACAATTTAGCAAATCTCCATGCAAATACAGATGCCTCGCAGAGGGATCGGCAACACCAACGGACTATTTTTATATGCAGCTAATATTTCCAAGTGCTAAGCTTCTCTAATTTAGATTAGCTTCCCAACCAGCTTGTTCATAAAGGTAAAGCTAGGACTGGGAGAATGGAAAAGCAGACCAGCTACCTCAGTACTTCATATAGTCCAATACATGACTGAACTGTCATGACCATGAACCTCACACGCCATTTAAGAGGAAAAACGTTAGGAGAAAGACCCACAAATAGATATTCTAAACCTCAGAAAACCAAGACTATACCGGGGCTGAGCTGGGCTCAAGTCTACAGGTACAGATCAGTAACTACAACGTGCATTTGAGGCCATTCACTTTCCCGAGCTGTCTAGACTAGCAGTGCTCTAGGGTGGGGGAAGACAATTCACTGGAGAGGAAGAGAATACATTTAGCATCCTAAACAGGAAGGTTTCTTCTTTTGCTGTTCCTTTTGATTTGCCTTTTCCACAGCACTGTCTTTCCTACATAATTCCTGCACCATCCAGAAGGAACTGAGCTGTGAAGGACATAGGCCACCAGTTCCTCTGTCCAGAAGGACTGCCAAATCCAAGCCTCAGCTCTAGCCACCAACGTCTCAAAGCAAAGGTTATCTACTGCCTCTGCTGCTGCTTCTCTCTCCCTTTGTCCTTGCTTCCCAAATCCTGCCAGCATCCCCACCCTACCTCTCTTACAAGACAGGAAAGCCTGGGAAAATGCATCTACTCCTTTCCCTTCCCTTTGCCCATACATATCACTGTGAAGTATTCCCCTGCGCAGCGAGTCTTTCCACCAAGAGCAGCCGCACAGTCAGGAAACCCGGATCTGGCACAATCTCCGTGGGGAATCCAGTTTATTTTTATTTATTAGTCCCCCACGCCCCGAGTGGCTGCCAAAGGGAATGCTCGTTTATGCAGCCAGGTCTCCCAGAAGAAAAAGTTACAGCCAGAGTGCTGCGCTGGGGGTTGAAGTGAGACAGCCTATTAATAGACTAATTAGAATAGGAATTTGGGGAACTGCTCCCAGATCTGCTTACCCTCCTGCACCTAGCACCCTCAGGGGGCAGAGCAGCAGACCTAACCGAGCTCGTTCAGCTTCTTTCCTAAATCTGGAGCCAGGGAAGGTGGAAAATCCTGTCTGTATCCTGGCAGAAACACAGTGTTCCAAAAGAGTGGTTGATTTCTTCTCCCTCAAAAAGCCTTCCCTCCTCACACTTAGTAGCAACTTCATCGAAACATAACAAATGAAAAATCCCAAAAACTGAAGAATCCAATTTGGATTAAAAGGCTGATATCAGCAATATAGCTGTGACAAAGCCTGGACCTGGCCTAACAAGCGACACCGAACAGCATGTCCCGAGAGCCTTCTTGCCACCACTCTCTGAAGCACACTCGGCTTTCTAGGAAGTGGAATCCCATGGAGAGCCAGGGACCAAAACTCATAGAGATTTGGGAGCTCTAAGAGGACAACAGGTAAGACTGAGGAAACTTAGCATTGATTTTGGAAGGCAGCAAGATTTCTGTGCCTGTTAAAGCTCACTTTGCCCAGCGAGGCAGTAGAAGTACTGGAGTGAGGCCAACACACACTGTGGCAAAGGAAAAGACCCCACGGACAGCAGCAGGTAGCAGGTTCATACCTTATCATAGTTATGACCATCTCTGTGTAGGTGCTTCTTAGTTTTCCTGAACAATCCCCCCAGTCCTTGTCGAGCTCCACATTTTCCTCGCCCAACCCTTTTCCCCAGCCAGAGTCAAGCCCTCTGTGACCCTGGCTGTCATTTCAGACAAGAACATCAAGGCCTTTGTGGAGACTTTGCTAAAAATCAGGCTGCAAAGACGTCCCGAGTTTGTGACTTTAACATCTTACATAACTTCTGAAGATTTAGGATTATGAGACAAAGAAGGTATCACCTTCACCTGTTTCTTCTGGTGAAGAAGTCATCTCCCAAAATCTCCCGTTAAGATCAACAGTTCTTGGGGTTTACACACAAATAACTCTTCACTGTTGCTTCTAGCAAAAGGGAGGGAGGGAGGGATGGAGAAAACGAACACTCCCTTAGCTGGAAGATATCTGGCCTCTAATCAAATCTACATAGTTCCACCTTTACAGTAATAAAGGCAAAGAGGCAGCCCAGGAGCTTCAAAGTGAGTGTCAATACACGTTATACTCAAAGGAAAGAGCAGCACTGCAGTACTATTACCAAACATTTGATGAGATTCTCTCGTTAACACAAGAGTCCAAACCACACAGAATACAGGAGCTTCAACATGTCAAACAAAATTACAATCACTTTGCCAATGAAGGATTTTTTTTTTCATACATCTCGAATTTCACCCCAAATTTAATAACTCTCCGCTGCCCTCACATCACACAATGCATTTCAAATGACCTCTTCCCATCTTCCTAGTCCAAAAGGCCGCCATTTACTACAGAGGATTCTGTAAGCAAAATCTCATTTTTGGTCTCATTTCACGAGAAAACCGGCAGAGATTCAGTCATTTCTTAAACCCTGAAGTTGACCTTTCAGTAGGTCAATAAAAGTCTCCTCCATTTCAGGAAAGGGGCTCTCCTTCACATTCTAGAGAGAAAGAACATACAGTGAAGCCCAGACCCTGAGTTCCTTCATTAAGCCAGGAACAACATCCAGGAGTCAAATCCCAGACTCGAGCATCAACGACTATCTGCTTCAAAGTAATTCCACTGCTAAACTAATGGTTGCAGGAGATCCCTTCTACATCCACTTAAACCAGCAGACACTAATCTCTCCATCTGCAATAGATACGCATGCCACAGGGATCTGGACAAGATAAGCTGAACAGATGTTTAACTGCACGCAGAGTCTGGGGAATCATCCATGGAGTTTAAGTGCTACCTCCATGGCGCACAAGAACTAAGGAGATTCCTAGACAGCTTCATGGGACATGGGAATTAAGGAGTCTTTAGACAGCTGTCCTTTCCTGCACCTTTGCTGGGGGAAGCAGCAATCCCAGCAGGAAGGGTGAAGCTGGCATGCAGGACTCATACACGTGCAGATAATGCACAGCTCTGAAAGGTCCAAGCACTTCCAGGAACCTCTAACCCAGCAAACTGATCTATACCAACGACAGAAACTGAGGATACCAGTATGCTACAGGATTGAACCAGGAGCACCACCACATTGCCAGGAGAAAACAAGCTGCCTGCATCTTGTGCTATACGTGCTATAGCTACATGTGCTATAGCATTCATTAAAACCAGTACTCTCAAGCACCAAAACCCCTCAGAAATTTTGGCTGCATCAAGGCAGCTTCTTCAGAAAGTGGAAATGCCATTCCCTCCACAGCACAACTCAAGTCAACTCCTGCCCTCGAGAAGAGCAGAGTCCTCAGCTGCTGGAAGCAGCTTTTGGATCCCACGGTACAAACACGTGGCCAGGTACTCAAGGTAGTTTGTCCCGGCTTGTCAGGGACAAGAACAGGCTACAGAGCTCAAAACACCTCAAATGTCTCAGCTGGTCACAGATGGCTCACACAGGATCCAAAGGATGCTGCTGGGTCCAACTCGAGAGACGCTCATTCAGGTCCCTCGCATGACTCTTGGCTGCGCAAGGCATAAGGACAAACAGATGCCAGCAGCACGTCAGCTGCCAGCATGTTTTCTCATGCAGGGCTGCTACTTCCTTCAGCCCCACTGCACAAGCAGCCTCTGAAAAGTGATACAAAGGGCTCCACGTGGCCTCAAGGGTTGCTCACAAACTGGCATCTGGCCATACAACTGAAGAGCACAGATATCCTCAGCTCCGTAATAAAAAATCCTCTCCCTTTTCCTCCTAGGAGGCAACGGTGCAAGAGGTCTAGAGAAGAAACTAGGATCAAGTCTTGCCCCAGCCTCAAGTTGTGCTCTCAGCTCTCTTCATTCAGAGCTGCACACCAGCACTCTGAAGCAAACATGGTCCTCCGCTTCCCAAGGGAAGACAGGTTCAGCCTGGTAATTTCAGAGGGCCTCTGGAATTCCTCCAGGGGAAGATTCAGCAATGAGTGGCATCCCTGTCACAACAGCAGTTGCTCTGTGCTAGGGCACAGCCACATTTACCAACAGCCCTGGTCTTCATGGCTTTGTACCTACCTCAGGTGTCCCAGGCTGTAATACCGCGATTCTCCGTCTGTCGACCGAACCACCTTGACAGCAAACACGGGCTGCAGCTGCCGGAGCTCGAGCAGCACGATGGCCAGGTAGTGGATGAAGAGCAGGGCATCCACCAGAGACACCGCGTACTGCACTATCCCTTGGTAGTTGGTGTCCTTCGAGTCCAAAATGCGAACACCGTAGAAGAGCCAGTAGGAGAACACAAACAGGAATATGAGGACCAGCAAGAGGGCCCGGAACACAAACACCCTGGGTATATCCGCCCTGGGCTGGCGGAAGAACAGAGCCCAGGTCCCAATGAGGAGAATGAGGAGTTTAAACGCCACAGAGATGAAGAGCCCCTCACACACAGTGCCACAGGGCTCCAGGGCATCCCGCCACAGGATCTGGGGCAAGAGAATGAAGACGACGGGCGTGAGGAAGACGAGGAGTCCAAGAACAGAGGCCACAGTTAAGCCCAGGTAACGTTTGCAGTCCAAGCCAACGCTGTCCTCCAGATCTTTGCTGATCCTGGCAATGTCCTCCTGGGAAATGCTGTGCTCAGAGGTGCCTGTGATGGCTGTTGTGGTCTCACCCCAGTTGTCATCCTGACAGAGGAAGGGAGAAACAAGAGACAAGAGTGAAACAATCGAGCGGTTTGTTCCAGGTCTTCTGTTTTTCTTGGCTGCAAAGAGATTGCTGCAGTATCACAGACCTAAGTCTCGGGAGGGAAAAACAATCAGCAACAACAAACAACCCCACGGGCAAAGCAAAAGCACTGCCTTCAACATCAGGTCTGAAAACTAGCAAAGAAACAGCAGCCTCTTGCCTACTTAAAAGGTAAACTCTTAAAAACTTAAAAGGGACCATCAGTTCCCATGCACAACAAGGGCCAGCACCCTTCCGGCCCACAAATTCCATGGTGCAAGTGCACCACAGAAACACCTGGAAGGGAAACTTCCATTTCAGTGTCTCAAGCCAATCATAATCATTACACAATCAAAAACATGTCTACACATCACATTTCCATCAGTACAGAAGTAAATGCACTTTCAGCAAGCTGCTCCACTTCTTCCTTCTCTCTCCTCTATGGAAGAGTTGCACACTACAGCTGACATAGTCTGATAAAAGTTCAGTTGAACCAACAATTCACAAGCGGTCAAAGATGACATTTACAGGTATGGGACTTCAAAAGAATCTAGACCACCAAATTACTGGTATTAGAGCCAAGGACACTGTACGAAGCCATTCAGCCTCAGAGAAGCCTACCTGAAACACAGCTGCCACGTAGCCAAGCTTCAGATCATAGAAAACTCTCCAAAAGACAGATGTCCAGCCTACCTGACTTCAGAGAATACCTGCGAGCTAATGCTCCAAGTACCTGCAATTTATCTTCACTGGCGCTAGTGCGGCCAAGGACTTAGGTTGACGTATACGGATTTGACTCATCACCCCCATTTAAGTGACCTGTGCATATGAAGACCCCTGATACTGCACACAAATATTCACCAAGCAGTGAAAATGTAGATATTATGTGTTTTTCCTTTGGTACTTTCTGTCTTAGTCAAAAAGAGTCATTCGCTAGCACAGGTTTTGCTATTTTGCCCACCCTTCCAGGTGTATCCTTCTGCCTTCCACATCATAACAGGATTTCCATCTTCCTGAAGACCTCTGCAATTGCACAGGCTGATCTGAGCATGTTGTTTTAAAGAAATAGGTATTGCTTTTAACGTGAGACATGATTCTCACAGAAATAAAAAGGCTGCAACATTATATGATTGCGCAGCCTCTGGCTCATCAGTGCCCCTTTTAACCAGCACTCATTTCTTTTAACAGTTATGGAAAACTTCAAGAAACATGGAGAGAGGAGTCGGCAGACAGAGCATAACTATTCTGAACAACTCCAGGAATGTAACTGCTAATGCACTGAGGCCTGGACACCTCCCTGCCTGCAGCAATAGGGCTTTGAGACACACAGACCACAAACAGTGAGCATCTTGAATCAATCTCTGTGTGTGTGTGTGTGTGTGTGTGTGTGTGTGTGTCTCTATCTTCTCATCAGAACTGAGGCCCCAGAAGAGATATCTGCACGACAGTGCGTCCTGAACAGCAGCATAACAGTACCACATTTTTCTCTCTGCTGGTGCCTCCCGTAAAGGAATCTAAGCATTTCAAGTATTTGATGCTTATATATGAAATATCTCTGCGTAACTTCTGCAATTTTAACGAGTGAATAACTGTACAGAAAAGAGGTGGCACATAAAAATACTTCAGGTTTCCAGCCCAGAGAAGAAACCATGCAGCCCTAGTTTTAGTCTACCTCTTGTAACAGCTCTCCCCAATTTAGGTGGCGCAAAGCTATTAGATCCAATGTAAGGCATCCTGCTCATGAGGAGACAGTTGTACTCATGCACCAGTTTGTTGGTTTTTTTTTTCTCTCTCTTTTCTTTTTTCTAAGCCTCACACTGAGATCTTCATGAAAAGAAGACTTGTGAATTCACCAAAACTTCTATTTCTATTTAAAGTAATACCTGAGACTCAGGAAAACAAACATCCCATTACAAAACACAAAAAGGAGCTAGATAAATTCAGCCCACTTCTCATCACATAAATACTGTTACAAGTACTACCAAACACATCTTAGGTGGAAACAGTTCAGCATTTCTTTTTCTTTTGGAAGGAGCAGAGCAGAAGCCCAACGACCAAGAAATTCCAAAAATCCAACCTGGGAAGCACCGAAACATTCCTGTACTCTGCAACATTCCTGCAGTTTCTCTTGCAGCGTCAGCCCTTCCTTAAAAATGAGTAAGAACCTTTGCATCTACTGCTGGAACTCCAAAAACACAGATGCTAAACCCAGCGTTCTGCCATTTCTTGCCTGACCTGGCATTAATACACCAGCTTCAGCAGAACTTTTTCTTTTTGTTTGCTTCCCCTCCTGGCTATTTCACATTTGCTTTCCATCTCTTGCCTGCCGCTCCCTATTGGGAGCTCTCCTCCTAATGTTTTACACTATTACCCCTGAGGAAATCCCGTTTAAAAGCAAGTGCATGCACAGGTGAATGAGCTGACCCAGATAATGCACAGTGATGCATTAGATGTTGCTGCAGAGCGTGACAGATGACACTTTTTGGAAAAAGAGCTAAATCAATGCCCCCAGGGCAGTCACACCGACATCGGGGCTGTCAAAAATCATGCTCACAAAAATGACAAAACTGCTTGAGACCTTGGATTTAAGCACGAGTATGTATACCCCCATCAGAAGCAGAGCTGCAGAAAAAATTCTTGTACCAAACTAATTTGAAACGCAGCTAGAGCACCCTAGCTCTATGGGAGGGTACCAAAACCCATGTTTGCTCATGACCAGCACGCAAGCAACATTTTCCACTCCCATACTGGTAGCATTAGGCAATCTTTGCCAGAGGCCCCACCCCACGTTCCCCTTTGCTCCCCCTTTACCTGGCCCTCCTCTGTCCGAGAGGCATCATTCCCCAGCAGTGGTTCCGCAGGCGGCGCCTGGATAGTGACGGACTTCTCGGAGCGGCTGCCATCCTTGCTTCGCGGCGATTTGTGCCTGTCCCGGCTCCTTAGTCCCAACAGAGCAAGAAGAGAAGGAAGTTACCACAAAGACAGCACCCTACCTGCAGCAGGACCTGGTACTTACAGTATCTGTAGGTTCCTATAGTGTTAGGTTATAATAATACGTGCCCCATCTCCTGGTCAATAATGATTTATTCCAGGATGAAACAAGCTTCATAAGAGGCAAAGAGTCACCGTGCCCAGAGCAGACTACAGCCCAGTGGCCAGGACAACCTAAACCCTCATCTACTGCAGAGGTAACCAAGGGCAGGTAGTGTCCTGCCACCATCTCAGCTTCTCTTAAAACGCACTTTAAAGAAAAGTTTGCATTTAAGAACTACTCACTCCATTTAAGATCAACTCTTCTACACAATTAATGACCAGCAACGTTTCTCACAGACACACATACTGTTAACAAATAATTAATCAAAACAGCTCTAGCTCTTTCAAAGCTAAGCCACGTAGGGCTCTAAAGGAGCAAGACCACTGGTGAAATTTGTTATTCCCCTGTAAACCAGAGAGCACCAAGGGAACCAGACACACAGCGGGGCTACTTATGTCTGCCTTACCCTTTAAAGCCTTATGGCTTCTCTTCTAAAGATGCCTCGGAATTCGGCAAGCCCCACCACTCCTGGCACCACAACCTGCTCACCTGACCTTCCCTTCCCCTTCCTATTTGGAAAGGAAAGGGCGCTTGCAATTTGGTGCAAAGGCTGCTAGGGTTTTAGAGGTTTCTTTCGGGAACTTGGAAGGCCTCCTTCCACACTGCAGGCTAAACTGCAAAGAAGGATCCATATTGGAGGAGAAGAGTGAGGAGGGCAGGTCTTAGGAGAGAAGTGGAAAAGGGGAAAAAAAAAAAACAGACTTTGCTCATCAACTGGTTTGCAAGCAAAGACTTCTTTTCCAGAAGTCTCTTTTCAACCACACAAGGCAGCTGCCTCTGAAATGCAAAGTGTCTTTGGGCCAACTCAGTTCTACATTGCAGAGACTGTAAATGGTGCCAGTTTTACATGCAAAGCTAATAATAATAAAGGAGGCAGAAGGGGGAGGGAGATAACGTTTCCAAGTGATCTGGTGTTTTTGTCATGCTATTGAACTATTTCTGCGTGACAGTTGCAAAGTGAGTTGCTATTCAATTCAGAAAATCCAATAAATCCAAAGGACTTGTTGCAGATTCAACTACCGCTCAGATTCTATCTTGCTAGTGAGGGGAAAAAGGAAGCCTTACTGCTTTACTGATGCAAAGAAAGTGCATCAAAGGGGAGGAAAAAAAAGGAGACAAATACCAGTTTGGGAACTCTGACATTCTCTCTGCCAGAGACTCTATTAAACCCTCTCGCTTTAATACAGTTAAATGATCTTTTCCTTCTAATTCTTCTCCAGTCTTCCTAGACGTGACCCGGGAGTACATGCAACTGATTGAATACCATAAAATCAGCAGGATAACTGCTTCCAGTCTCCTCACAAAGTCTCCCCACATACCCCCACTAATTTCAGCCCAGCTTCAGATTTCTTTCCACAGGACGTATCCTAGCCTAGAGCAGCCAGTAATTTAGAATTAGATGTCTCCTTACCCTTGTCTGTGGGCTTTTTTGGAGTGACCTGAGTAGTGGGAATATCCCGAATAGGTTGATTCAGTATCCATGGTGGCAGACATGAGGCCCGTGCAGCGGGGGCACCGACCGCAGGTGACTCAGCGGACGCGTCGCCGGTGCTCCGGAGGTGGGGTCCGTGGTGAAAGTGCTTTCCTGGGTGCCGCTCGCTCCGCGATCATCGGCGAGGGCTGCTCCTCGTGGAACGAGCGAGCTTCAGTTACAAGGAGTGGAGAAGGGAGGGAGGCTGCTGTGCTCCTCAGCATCGACCTAGGGCAAGACAGATAGGGATGGGAGCTCGTGCCACGCCAAGCACAACGACACTCTTACTGCAGTAACGCCCTCGTGCTCTTCACCCCCAACACGTATCACACTCATCACACCGGCCCTCCATGAGCCCGGCCTGGCTGGCACATCCATTTCAGGTCTAGGCAGAAATGCACACATTTGTAGAGCTTCGAATACGCCCAGAGGAAAGCTCTGTTGTGCAACATCTAGTCCATAGAAATCACTTGGAGAAGACAGTGATTCGGAAAGGACAAAGCAGCCTAGATAGAGAAGTTCTCTCTCAGGAGAAGCATCGGCCTCGACGTCCCCGCTCGGTGTAAAGCGCATCCCGAACTCCGGCAGGTCCAGAACGGCAGCGCTGCAGCCGGTGCGGGGGAAGGCGTGGCCGGGATGTGACTATCCCGGGAGAAATGTGGGGACGGATCCGACCACCGTGCCTGAACCTGCTGTGTTTTCATAACCGCAAGGCGTGCCCGTTTTACAAGCATTAGGCACCGTACAACCAATGTACCTCCTTTCCTCTGCAGCCTTTACCTTCCAAAGCTAAGGGAATTCAGCTCTTAGAGGTGCAAATTAAGGGTTATATCTATATATACACATACACTAACAACACCGGGGAACAGAGTGGACAATACAGCTCGTTCATGCGGGCCAACATTTCTTACAACGTACCTCCATTCGCAACAATGGTTACAGCCCTAACTGTGAAGGGCAAAAGGGAGGCACCGTTTTGGGGACAGGAATGGGGAGACATGAGCACAATTCCTAATGGTTACATGCCAAAAAAAAAAAAAAAAAAAAAAAAAGGATGCCTGTGGGAGAGAAGGATTGACACCAACTGCTCCCAAGTCCAGAGCCTGCATTAGGTGAAAACAGAAAAAGAGGGATTAAGTCAGCAGCTTGCAGGAGGAGCACGTGCTGTAAAGATGTGTAAACGGAGGGGGGCAGCTATGGACAGGGCTGCATCAGCACAGCTGAGTGTTTGGCTTGAAAGCGCCTTTTCCTGTGCTTCCCACCCAGGTTATTGATGCCCCTAGAGGAGCGGGAGGCCACAGTTGCCCTGCAGCCCTATAGCAAGGAAAAGGCCACTTCAAATCAAATTAAACCCCTCTGTTTCTGTTCACAGCTCTTTTCAAGCCCATTTGCCATAAAACAGCCAGCCACTGCCTTCCACCTTCCGTCTCCCCAAGCGCAGGAAGGGACAAGAGAAGTCAGACTTCATACTTGGCCAACTATTCTTTCCAGCCACGAGCACAGAAAAACTTCTCCCCAACACCTTCAGAAAAGCTATACGCAAGCAGAAACGTGCGAGCAGAGCCCTCTACCAAGCACAAACCATGACAAAGAATCAGACCCCTTCACCGCGACGCTTCCTGGCTCAATCTGCAACACCACTGAGATGTGATCCCGTGTGTGAGGGGCTGCAGGTATCTGCCCAGCTCTTGGGCTCGCCGAGGCTCTTTGAAAGGAGAAGCAGAGGATGGGGCCTTCCGCGTGCACTAATTCCCAGGCTGCAAGGGAGCATCATCCCTCCAAAGGGCTCCTTAGAGGCATCTTTAGAGATGTGGGAAGAACAAACAAGGGTGAAACCATAAGGCCTGGTTTGGAGAAGGGAAGTGAGGATGGATTTAAGCTGCAAAGGCAGAGCAAAACTGAGACCCAAGGCACAGCACCGTCTGGGATATGTTATCACTAACATAACGTGAACAAAAATCCTCCAGCTTGGTGCAGGTGACAAAACACTCATCAACTTATCAGGTTTACGCACTGCCTGTGGGTTATGTCTCCAGCAAAGCACCTGAACTTGGGAAAAAAATGGACTTTTCTCTGCCTGGGTGCTGCCCCTTTGGGAAGGCTGGGGTAAGCCCCTTCCTCGGCACCCATCCTTCACCGGGAAAGGTTTCCTGGCTGAAAGCTTCAACTTTAACCTGGCAAAGCAGGCAGCAACTGCCATGAAAACGCACAGGCCTCCTGGACACAAACTACAAAGGCAGAAGTTCCCGTTTTCCAGCGGGGTGAAGCAGGGCAGTGCCGGACACCAGGCCGAGCAGCAGGCTCACGGCACAGCTAACACTGCCCCAGGCCAGCTCCGAGCAAACCAGAGCGAGGGTTTTGCCACAGCTCTGCGAAAAGCCAACAAGAGAACCCCCCCGACAACACTGAGGCTGCTGGGCTGTGGTCAGAAAGCAGCCTGGGGCACAGGGGAGCTCTGCAACACCTCCCGGGCCCTGCGGCAGGACACGCACGTGGTTAAACAGAACAGGACCCACTCTGCAGCGGGACAACTACTCTGCATCAAGCAGCAGCCATCATCGAGGTCCTCAGCCCTTCACAAACGAGCAACAATTGAGGGTCAGATTTAATTAGTTTAAATGCTTTCACAGAGGGCCCCTGCAGCTCACGGGGATGCCGCTGAAGGCAGGGTCTGTTTGCAGAGCTGCTGGCCCCGTGGGCGACGTGGCCGGAGGGCAGAGTTACGCTGCTTTCCTGTCAAAGACAGATTATAGCACATGCCATCATCATATCTTGGTCCACTGTTCAGCTGGGTTGTGGCAAGGCCATTCCCAGAGAGCAAAGGGGACAACTGAAAATAAAATAAAATTAAAAATCTCTATTCTGCCCCTCGCCGCGCTTTTGTCTCGGCTCCTTTCCGTGACCTAGTTCACGGCACAGCCCCGCAGAGCACAACCGACAGCAGGATGAATAGCAGCACAGGCAGACGGCTACAGGGCAGGCGGGAATTCCTCTTCCAGGGAGAGCAGCCCGTTGTGCAACCGCGGCCGAGCCCTGGGCTCCCGCTAGGGCCGGGGCTCTCCCTTCGCCCCGCTCTCGGTCGTGGATGACGGACACCAGCTGCTTCTCGCTGCCGAGGCAGGCAGCGACGCCAAGGGTGCCCAACGTGGAGACTGGGGATCCCGTCCTGGCAAGGAGGGCAGGCACATCCCGCTGGCAGGGGGGAAGTGCGGCCATCCCTGCCCGAGAACAGCAGAGACTGCAGTAATTACAGCTACTATGCAACTAGTTACTAGTAGTAATTACTACGCAACTCATTGCTACTCCTTCTTTTCACATGAAAAGATTCATAAATTAAGAAAAAAGAAAGTTCTTTTGAATGGCTATTTTCCACGCTCGCGGCCCAATCCACTTTCCAATGAAGTCAAGCTCTGTGATCGTCTTCAAGGGAGCACAGTTTGGCTGCGAGCCCACGGGAAATTCAAAAGAACAAGTTACATCTTTAAATCAAAGGCAGAAAAGGCGAACAAAACCACTCTCTATCTCCATGGATTTTCCCCGTACGACGCTGCGGCGGATAACTCCACAGCAGCTCAACTTGGAAATACTTGTCAGCAGAGCTTCCCTCTTACCCCGTTTAGCACTTGCAGTGAATTAGGGTCGATTTACCAATTTGCTGGTGCAATTGCACATATTCGAAGGCACCATCTGGAGCACAAGCAGCCAACAGTGCCTGCGAGTGCGTGCACGCATCCAGGGCAGTGCCTGGACTCGTTAAACAGCACCAGCTGCCTACAGGAGAACCGATGCCCATCAACTACCCCGTCGAGGAATTTTTCTTCACTTAGCGAGGCGAGGAGCTTTGCAAGTTAAACATGCTGAGCCCCAAGAGCTAAGCTAAGGGGCTGCATCATGCTTCAAGGCTAATTATAATATGAGAGGGAGAATAAGACAGTTAGGAAGGGCTCGACTGTAGCATCTCTGCTGCACGGCACAGCTGCAACATACTCCTATTATTCACTTCAGGCAAACAGAAAAGTTACATAACTTGCTAAATTCAAGCACCTGGACAGACCTATGGGCAACACAGCAGGAACTTTTCACTTTTGAATTTCCTGAGCAGGCCCCGGTCCAGCAATTTGATCCGTAGGTACCTAAATTCACCCACGTCTATCTACTTGCAGAGCCAAGGACTCCAGTCTCAACTGCCAACACGCTTTGGGAATTCTTTTTCCAAAGGCTTTTTATTTTTGCATGCCTTTAAATAAGGCGTATTTTGGCCTTGAAATATATAAATCCATAAACCAATGTTTTCCCTGTATGATGGCAGCTCTTAATTTGCAAGCCCTGTGAGCTTTCCACAGGTCTCTCCGAAGCAGTTCACGGATCCCCGGGAATTTGCATGGCCCAGGCCAGAAACTGTGAAGTCCGTAACATGAACACTGCAAAAAGGTAAGTCAGGGTATTCGTTGGAACAATCCTCTCATAGGCTTAATGAGACCACGCAGTAACACTGATCTGAAAAACATAGGGAGGCTACGCTATTGCACAGCAAATAAGAGGAAAAACAAAACAAATGAACAAAACGGATACCTAAGTTTTCCAGCAGCAATTCCCAGCCTCCTGCCTCTCTGTCCCACAGCCGATCCATGGCTTGCGAAGTTCTCTGCACAGGAGCCACCAATCCATGACTTCCCCAAGAATTATCTTCTGCCTGTTCCAAAACCACATCTACACCGCTCAAAGCTCAGAAAGGCCACCCGGTATTTGTGTCAGCCGTGTAAAATACACCTTCATTCCCAAACTGCTGCACTAGTGAAAACTCGTGCTTCCTCATCCCTGCATTTCCTACGCCTCTGGATCTTGGAGCATGCCTCTGATCTTCACGGTGCCGCCTCACGCGCCAGCAGATCCAGCAACATCCCCATTTACAGCCTCATGGAAACAACCTGAGGCTGAGATCTGCCTTGGAACCGTTGCTTCAGACTCTGCCTATCCAAGCAAACTGCACCCGTACCCTTATTTCAAAGACCAGTTGCAGTCATAGCAGTTAAATAGTGAGAGAATGTTAAAGGCTTTACGTTACACGAGGTTTACTTGCTGGCTGCATATTCCCTTATGGCACTCCACAGCATGTATACACACGCATACACCTATATACACATACATATATGTATGTGCATATATATATATGTATTTATGTACATGAGTGTTTTGAGGAAAGCTTTTTTCCTCCTTCCACC